CAATTACAGATAGGTCTTTCAGATAATTAATTTATTAATATTTAAAATTCCATTCTGATATATTAAGAAAATCAAGTCAGCTTTATTTGCATAGCACTTTTTACAATACAGACAGAGCTGGGTAGATTACTTACATACAAATTGTAGTCCGTTATACAGATTACATGATGAAAACTGTAGTTAGTAATCTAATGGTAACTCATTTTAGGTAGGCTAATGGAATCTGACTACTTTTTAGATGACTTTTTATGTAACTTATTTTAAACTTACCATTAAACATGCCATTTCGATATAAAAAGCAAAGAGAAAGAAAATACATTCCAGTTTTTTATATCAACATCACAAATTGCGTTGAACATTACATTACACCAAGGTTTTCCAAACTGGGCTTAATGTAAGAACTGCTGTGGGTTTGTGGGTTGATAAAAACAACTAATAATTAATTATATCATAAAATGTCAAATAAATGTAAACACTTGAACATTTGAACTTCACATGTGACCATTAAGCGACATCGAACTGTAAACGTGTGAATGTGTGGTTAAATTATTGAACTGTTAACTTCCTCAGAGACATTTCAAGTAAATATTTCATGTCAAATGGGTCTGACTGACAGAAATGTTTGGGAAACCCTGCATTATATAAACAAACATTAATAAACCTGAAAACAGCAATGACGCTACTCGCCCACAGTCTTCCTGGTTTGAAATATTTTTGTCCAGACTTACATAATCAACAGTTACTGAATGTCACTGGATCAAATTTGACTCACTGTCCTCACACTAGTAAACACTAATGGAATAACCATTTTGAGAATTTAAATTAGGAATTGATTTCGATTTATAATAACAAATACAGCTAGTGAAATACTTTAAAAATTATACACGTAATGTATGCAACAAACCAGTTCCTAAAAATGTATAAAACTCATCCTGAATCTTGTGTAGGCATATTCTGAAACACTGGTACAGAAGTGTTTTTTTCTTCTTCTTCTTCTTCTTCTTTTTCAATATCATCCAGTATAGGCTACATGTATTCCCTAATTTACTTTCTTTTTGTATTTTCCCCTTTATTTGTGTATTCTTAAAGTTTGTTAGTATAGTATGACCGATAACGTTTGTTCATTTTACATGCTATGCGATAGTTCATGGTTCATGATGCAGTAGCGCATCTCTAACACTAGATACATAACCATTATTGTACTGAATGTGAAACGTCCTGCAGTTGTATGTTCAATATTCATATGTAGCATTCGCTGATAATAAAGCATACAAGCTTAAAAAGCCACAAAAAAAGGACTGTGTCGTTCCCTCAACATAAATCGAGACCACGACTTGACATCACGTGACCGGAGATGGTCTCCCTCCTGAATCCAAACGGTCCGTGGCTTCTCTTGTAAAACAGCATTTTTTTTTTCGCAGTCAAGTCTAAAAAACAGATCACCTCAGAACTAAAACGAATGTTTAATTGCAAGCATGTTGAAGATTAAAAGATGGGGTGTTTTCTAACCGGAAGAAGTTTAGAGTTGCACAGTCGGTGACGGAGACGTCGCTGTTCATGTGTTTACAAAAAGTGACAGATTTGACTGGAATTATTCCTCCAAACTGCAGCTTGGTCGTACGTATCTTAAAATAAGATGCCACGGAAAGATCCCTGTCAAAAACAGGCTTGTGCCATACAGAAATGTTTACAAGGTAGCTTAATGGTCTCAATGTTAGGCTAACCTTGCTTTCCATTAAGATTGCAGGCTGTTTATTTGAAGCAGTTTAACCGTTTAATGACTTTTGTATTTTTTAACAGCCAACAAATACATCGAAAGTCTTTGTGAGGATGTGATTCAAGCCATGAGGAAGTGTTGTGAAGTCCACGCAGGAGAAAACTCTGTCTGCTGCTCTGGATTTACCAAGGAGCACAAATCTACAGACACAAACACAACCCTTTAATAGAAAGCTATACAGTACACATGTATATTTACTGCAAGAGATCAGAGGAGACTTTCAAGGACATGTGGAATACATATTCATCGTCTCTTGTAACTTTCATTAAATCAAGCTGTCTCTGGCTGTCACCATTTATTCAACAGTTTATAGTGAGAATATTATGCATTCAACATCTAGTGTCCATCATAGTGACCTGCTTTTTTTGTATGTTCAAAACACAAAGGCCTTGTAGGGACAGCCATATGAAATGCAGATTACAAAATGAGAAAAGAAACTGGAATATCCTATTATGATGTGCTGAGCATTAGCTGTAATTTAGGGAAATAGATTAGATGTATTGTATAAATATCAATACAACAATCAAAACAAAGATGAGACAAAAAGGCAAACCAGAATTGTTTAAAACCGGATTTACTTTGAACATTTCTGTCATTATCGGATAACTTTTATTGACCCCTTGGTCTTTGAAGTAATGTCCAGAGTTATTACAGAAATAGCTTTGAGCATCGAGTTTTAAATGCACTTAGCTTAGTCAGCATGACATTAGATATGGGGTTTTAAAGGGCCAATTTCAAATGTTTCAACTATTTGCATGTTTAAATAATCTCTCTTTTCAAGTCTTGTGTCAAAAATAGTTTGTGCCAAAATAATATAGCAAAATGTTCAAATAAACAAAAATGTAACAGGGGCTTTAAGTACAAACTAAAAACAATGTACAATCCAAAAACTGAAACCATACATTCTAGCATCGATATATGTTTTCTATATATATGAACACATCCTAAGAATCAAATCTTGATCTAAAAAAAAAGGAGTGCTGAGTTAAATACAAGCTGCAATATCACACAAAAGCTGTAATCTGATGTTAGATGACATCCTCGGAGTATAAGACGTTACAATGAGAGATCCTATGAAGCCAGACCAAGCAGAAATCCACCAGCAAAGCCTCCTGTGAGAACAATGTTTTTCTTGACAAATACTTGCACCTGCGTGGAGAGAGAGAACATTTAATGAATTCAACACAACGGCACGGCCTCTGTTTAAAATCAATGACAATAGGCAACAGCACACTTTTCATTCCAGTGATTTCCATTCATACACATGAGAATCCAGGAGACAGGAAACGCAAGCTTTCACTCTGCCCCAAAATTTGAATTTGGTGAACTTAAACCGGACAGAAAAGAAAAGTTACCTCTCATCAGCCTCACTTCTCTCTGATGTGTATGTGTGTGGTGCAAGTTGAGAGTCTGACTGGCAGTCGAGGGGAAAAAAATTCACATACTATATTCTCCATTCGGTTGCTTTTTTTTTTTTCTCAATACTATAAATAAGCAAATGTACACAGTATGATAACTATCTACTGGCCATGATATGCCATATGCATGATATGCCATAAGTGTGGTATACCCTATCTGAGATACAATGAGTGTGTGTTTTGAGCACGAGGAAACAGAATATTACAATTACATAAATGCATATGGGTCAAAGACGAAAAAGAGTTTAAGCATAAAAACAATAAGTGTAATACTGCTTTAAATTGTTGTTTTTCCCCAATTTTTTTTTTTTAAATTTTCCATTTAATTTAATTGCAATTTTGTTTTTGTTTTTCTGAGCAAAAAATAAATATCATACATTTTTCCCTGATTTACAGAAGAGACCCATTAAATGTCATTTAGTGTAACAATCTTGTCAGGCATATTTACAACAAAAATCTATTTATGACATATTAAAAGACTAATTACTGTCGCCCCAAATACTAATTAGTTGTAATTTGGCATTTTTAAAATTTGCCACTATCCTAGGTTTTGCCCATTTGTCAGTAAGAATTTTTTACTCATTTAAAACACATCAAATGTAATACGCTCCCTTATCCTTTATATATTTTAATATGTACACGTCAGAATAAGCATGTTGTTTGAATTTTTAACATAAATATTGT